AACCAATAATAAAAATAACAATATTAAACAATCTTGTCATAAGATGCACACTGAGAACCTTAGTGCATACTTTGAATGGTAAGCACAGGTACAGTTACAACTCTATGTTTCAGAGTGCATTTTTTCTAGTTTTTCTGTTTTTTGCGCTGATCACAATACCATTCTTTAGCCTTTCTTTTTTACTGTTGCACATTCGTAGTGGAAATGCCTATTGCACTTTGCACAGGTGGGAATGAATGTCCGGCCACTGAATTTTGGGCCATTTTTTCTCGTCATTTATCCACTCACCGGCATGTAACGCGTATGGGTCATTAAGACGTATTCCATTAACTAGTGTTAATTTAGCAGCATAACTTATTTTATCACTAGGTAATAAACTTGTAGTACGCTGACAGCATCGCGAGATAGCGGATCGCAACTGCTAAATAACCGCGTACAATCACAACATTCGACCAGACGCTTTGAAGGACCCGGCACTTTTTGCAGCCAAGATGCGCGCGCATCCGCCGTGTTGATAAACAAATAATCCCTCTATAAGCTACGATTTAGAAAACCTACCCTCATTTGTCCTGAACATTTGATTTTTTTTTTTTATAAGCTCATTTAAACAAAGTAATTAGTCCTTAGATATAACAGTTTGGTCAGTCGGTTACGTCAATGTGCACATAAGTTGTAAGTTTTGAAAAAAAAAAAATAATGTTCTTGAACATATAGTTTTGTTTATAGAAAAAAATAAGGATTTTTGTTCAAAAAGCTTATCTGTTGTCCAAGCAAAATATCACGCTCCAGGAGCTCCAGTCCCTCAGTCTTCCCATCGTTCAGTCTGAGTCACAAAGATGGCGGCGGGATCCTCCTGCCTCTAGATCTCCACTCGTTCGTTTGGTTATTGGCCGTCCAAAAAAAACCAACCTGTATGCAGAGCATCAACCGATCATGCACGTTTACTGATATCAGCAAAATCCTACAATCGCGCTCAGTGAAAATCAATTCAGCATTTAAAATAAACAAAACGCTCAGTAGTTAAGAACTTAATATCACTTCAGCATGAAACTCTCATTTCACAGGACTATGCTACTTACAGAGAAACACCTTATACTCCGGTTGGGAGTTTTTTCCAGTTAAAAAACTGAGCAACATTAGCTCTGACTTGGTAGCCATTCTGCATAAGTAAGCAGCTGAAAATAACACAAAGACTCACCGGAGAAATCCCAGAACAGAATGTATATTCTATCCCGCTCAAAATAAACAAATCTTCTGTATCACAGCATAACTTTTAAGTAGCAACTTTTTTACTTCTGCTGAAACGTGTTTCAGCTACGTATTTTTTTTTTTCTCTCGTCTGTCTTACCGACACAGGATAAATGTGGGTCTGGCGCCCTCTACAGGACATTTTAAGAACTAAGAAAACAAACACATTAAACATACAGACTAGAGACTGACACAGGAGTGGATTTTCGCTCTTGTCCCATCCCACTCCCACAGAAAAAAATTGTGTTCCGTCCCGATCCCGGGCCAGACTAGAAATCTAAATCCTGTCCCGTCCCACTCCTGGTGAAATTACTCCCACTCCCATCCCGCTCCCATTCAGAATGACTCCCGCACCTGCACCACTCCCATTCTTGTTTTTTTTTTGTTTGTTTTTTCAGCGCGGGTGAAAAACTCAGAGCGGAAGCACTATTGGTTTTTGGGTCGTGTCGTTTTTTTGACTCGCATTATAGTGTAGGCTTCAAGGAAAAAAACTACAAAATGGCGGCACCACGCCAGTACTGGATTTTTTTTTTCTTTCCATTTTATTTTATTTTTTGGCATCGATCCTAGTTTTTTTTTTTTTTTTAGTTATTATTGGTTTGCTCCCGCTCCCGTCTGCTCCCGTTAATGTTTAATCCTGTACTGTCCCAATCACGTGATCAATACTAATACTGACTCCCATCCCACGTGAATCCCATGGGAATCCCGTGACCCGTGGGATTCCCGGAAAAATGTCTGTACATGTCTCTAATACAGACAGATCAGCATAGTTTATGGGGGTTACAATCAGAATCAGACATACTTTACTACTATACTTTAAACTATTCTTTAACCACTGCTCACACATATAGCAAAGCCGCTCAGGAGCATCAGACACATCTGGGCACATTTTAACTGATGTGATTCAGGAGCATCAAAGATGCTCTGGAAGCGCGTCTGACCTTAATGTGGACGCATCAAAAAGGAAGCAGCAGGAGCTACTTTGCTGCTGAAATTGCATTTGGTATAGAGCTGCAACTAATGATTACTTTGCAAATGGATTAATCTGTCGAGAACTTTTTGATTGATCAAATAATAATCGGATAGTGAAAGGTTCCTTAAAGAAGACTTTTTGCTAAATTATACCAGAAAAAAATCTAATTTTCTACTTTAGAGTAGAACATATTGACAAAATTTTTATCCTAAATGCAAAATGTTCACTCCCACAGGAGCATGTCTTGCAAGTCAGTTACCAGATGCAATCAACTGGTTCTAACCAATCTGACAGTATGTCTGTAAAGTCAGTTGAGATGACATGTTGTGATGGCAGTAATAAAATGAATTTAATTAAATTTTAATTGGAGGTATGATTTGGATATTTTTATCTTTAAATTAATCTTCCAATATCGATTCACACACAAAGTGAGCAGAGTGAAGCTTGTGAAACAGAACCACGCTGTTGCATTGCATAGAAAAATACCCCAAAAAGGTGACTGAAGGTTGATGAAACTCGCATTTTTCAGCTTTGACGAAAAGTTTATTCTCTAGGAGTCTCTGTAAGACCAGGCGGACATGTTTTTTGTGTTCTGAGAGGTCCTTGGAGTAAATGAGAATGTCATCAATGTAGACAAAAACAAACACGTTCAAAAAATCTCTGAGGACGTCGTTGACTAAGGCTTGAAAACATGCAGGAGCGTTTGTTAGACCAAAGGGCATGACTAAATACTCGAATTGACCTAGAGGGGTCTTAAAGGCTGTCTTCCATTCATCGCCCTCTCTGATTCTGAGAAGGGGATAGGCGTTCCTTAAGTCGAGCTTAGTAAAGATTGTGGCGCCCTGAACTGGTTCGAATGCAGAAGCGAGTAGAGGAAGTGGGTACTTATTCTTAACCGTGATTTGGTTCAAACCTCTGTAGTCGATACATGGTCTAAGAGATCCATCCTTTTTACCCACAAAAAAGAAGCCTGCTCCTAATGGAGAAGAAGAAGGGTGGATTATTCCAGCAGCTAGAGACTCATTTATGTATTTCTCCATTGTCTCTCGTTCAGGTTTGGAGATATTATAAAGTCTACTGCCGGGTAGAGGGGCTCCTGGTAATAGCTCGATAGCACAGTCGTATGGTCTGTGAGGTGGAAGGGACGTAGCACTGACCTTACTGAAGACAGGGGCTAGATCATGGTACTCTGGAGGAACAGAAGAAAGGTCAGGAGCGTCCATCTCCCCCCCACCTCTAGGAGATCTTACAGCGGGGGCCGCTGAACGAAGACACGTCTCATGGCATGAGGTCGACCAGGACTCAATATGGCGATCGGTCCAGTTTATGTGGGGGTTATGTCGTTCCAGCCACTCAAATCCCAATACCAATGGAGAACATGCGGAGGGAAAAACAAAGAAAGATAAAGTTTCTCGATGGTTACCTGAGACCAACAGCTCGAGGGGTTGTGTTTGGTGGGTAACTTGATGAAGCTTCTTTCCATCGATCGCGGAGACACAGAGAGGCTGGGTTAGGGGAACAGTTTCAATCTGTAGCTGTTCAACCAGATTGGAGTCAATTAGGTTCCTTTCACAGCCTGAATCGATGAATGCAGAAAAAGTGAGGTTTTGGTCGGCAAAAAACATCGTGGCAGGAAGTAAAAGGCGAGGAGATTTCTCAGAAATAACATGGCCCGTCAGACTCCTCAGGTCCTCTGACGGGCCCCGGCTTTTGATTTAGCTGGGCATGAGGCAATGAAATGGCCACTCTCACCACAGTAGATGCACAGCTTGCTCCTGACACGCCTTAACCTTTCCTCTGGAGTTAGCCTTGTATGCCCAACCTGCATGGGTTCGGTCTCTATTTCAACCGCATGAGAGGCCTGAACAGGCAACGGGAGAGATTGGACCGTTGATCCTGGTTTAGAAAAAAATTCTGTGGAAGAGGAGAAGGCAGGAACAATGTTAGAGGCAGAAACAGAATTAGGACCATGATTCCTTGGTTTAGAGCCATTTCTGGCTCGAATTCTATTATCCAGCCTAATTGCCAGGCGGATTAATTCCTCTAGAGTGGCGGGTTCGTCGAGGGTTGCAAGCTCATCTTTT